ACCTGTCAGCGAGGCGTTGCCGTCGGTCCGGCGGAGCTGCAGGGCGGCGTCCCGGAGTCGGTGGGCCCGCGGCGTCGGGAGCCGCGCACTGGCCTTCCAGACAGCCCCGCTTCAACATGTTCGGCGTCTCGTTCCGGGTGGGCTCTCAGGGCGGGACCGCCCGGTGGGAAGAGGCGGCAGACGCGGAGGCGGGCGGGAGCCAGGGAAAGTCCGACCGGGACCCCGGAGCCGGAACGGGGGACGGGGAGAGGGCAGCGTCCGCCGCGGGCGGGTGGGCGGCGGAGGGGGCGAGCCGCGACGGGTCCCTGGATGACCTGCAGAGAGCGTGGTGCGTGCGGGGCGGGGCGTCGGGGCGCTGGCGGACCTTCCCGAATCCCGGGTCGGCTGGGGTCGGGAGATGAGCAGGCGGGGCTGGCGGCGCTTGCGGGGCAGTGGGGAGGAGGTAGAGGCAGATGCGGCGGCAGCCTGAGCTGTGGACAGGTGAGTGTGTTCAGTCTCCTTCTCCAGTCTTGGAGGGTGTGTCCCGAGGCGCTAAGATAATGGAGCACCCCCAAGTCAGAAGTACTCACCCCAACCCAACCCTTGCCTAACCTGGAGGGGAAGGGGGCAGGGGGCGTGGAGGAGCGGAGGAGGTTGGACTTCCCCCTCCTAGCTCTCACCCAGGATGCCCTCGGAAGGACTCGACATCCATCCCCTCTCCAGTCTGCTCTTGGGGGCTGAGGCCTTCATCCTAAATTGTGTTAAAAGCAACGCCATCAATTCCTCTCCCTCAAAGAGGAGACTCCCAGAGCTTGCGCACTTGGCTGTAGCCAGGACGGAGGCAGTTGGGCAGGAAGGGTATGGTGACGGTAGCACTCCCAGGCCATCTGCTTGGCCTGGTCCAAGAGGCCTGAAACATCCTGCCCTGTCTGACCTGCAACTGACCCCACCTATGGGGTTCCCCATGGACTCAGCCTGCCTTCTGTTTTAATACATTTCCCTCCGCCCAGTTCTTGCAGGCACTGTCTAGCTTCTGTGCCTTTGGTGTGGAGAGGGTGCCTCTGTGCCTGAGAACTGTCTTGCCCAGGGCAGGCCGTACCTGAGGTGCCCTGCTCACGTTGTGTCTGGCTAGGATCCATCCCTGCTCCTTATCATCACCGCCCTTGGGGTCACCGTGCTTCTCTTGGCCCTGAAGAACATGAACTCGAGGAGGAGACATCTTATTACCTTAAAGGACCCTGACACCAAGTACCCACTGCCCTTGATTGAGAAAGAGGTAATGGATCAGCCCATCCCTTCCATTGTCAGTGGGTGAGAGGAGGACAAGAGTGGTGTTTCTGTTTTGTTTTATAGCAAATCAGCCACAACACCCGGAGGTTCCGCTTTGGACTGCCTTCACCAGAACATATCTTAGGGCTTCCTGTAGGTGAGTAGGGTTTGGTTTTATTATCAGAACTGGGTAGTGTATAGAGGTCAGCTGATGTATAGAGGTCGCCCTGATATTTTTCCTGAGACACCTAAGCTTAGAAAGGTAGAGAGATGGCCTTGGGGACAGTCCATTCCCTTTCTCACTGTTCAATTTGGGCTAACACAAAAGTGATCTCTCAATGAGCATTGAAAAGAAGTGAGTCTCGAGTCAGAAGTTCTAAGATATCATCTCAGGCTCCTTGCTGGGCAAGTCCCTCAACCTCTCTGAACCATGGACTCTGAAACGGGATTGATTTCCCAGGCCTGCCTGCCTCATGGGTGGTTGTGAGGATAAAGTGATTGATGGATGTCAAAATTCTGAAACTGCAAAGTGCTGTCTGCGTATAGGAAGGATGGGAAGAATTGATGTTCCCCTACAGTCAGGAGAAAAGCACAGAAAGTGTGGAGAGAAAGGAGAGAATTGGGTCTCTCCCCCCTACCACATGAATTCTCAGCAGAGGCCTCAGACCCACACAAGGAGGGACCCATTGTGAGTACCAGCCCCAGTGGTCCTGGAGTTCTGAGTTATCCTGTTGCTAGTCTGTAATGCCACCAGATGGCTGAGCCTTAGTGAGGTGCTAGGTCCACAGGCTGGGAGTCCAAAGCTTTTAACAAACTGCTAATGCTGCTTGCCTGGCTGGTGGAGATCACATCCCTGGCCTACTGGTCCTTTGTGCATGGGACAAAACTTTGATCTCACCTCTATCAAGTGTTGAAGTTACCCATTATGCAGCTAGCCTGGCCCCTCAATCTCCTTGCTGCTTCTTCTGTCTTCATCCACGAAAGCTCAGTGCCTGCCTGCGGGGCCAGTCCTGTTGTCAAGAGGCTAAAAGAGTGAAAAACTTTGAAATAGAATTTCTTCGAATGTGTCATGACCCACTATCTCATCTGGCATAGGCAGTGCAAAGTTAGTGACACCAGCCTGGGCTGCCCCATTTTCTCTGAGGTTGCTGCCAAGCCAGGCCCAAGTTGGCTGCATGTGAAGGAGCCTTTCTGAGGTATCCAGTTTCAGATTAGCACTCAGGAGGAAACTGCCTTAGGCCTTTATTCCTGGGACTCCATGGTTCCCAGCCAGGCCATAGTCACAGTCATTGAGCCTGTTCTTTCTTAACCCAAAGTGTTTGTGTCTCAGGCCTCCTCAAAGACTTTGGCTTCTGTTCCTGAAGCTCCTGGAAGGACTGGCCCCTCTTTTCCTCCTTCCCTTTCTCCTCTTCTCCTCCTCCTCCCTCTCTCTCTAGGTCGCCATACCCACTCCATCTTTCATGCGTATACGGTTTCTACTCCCTCAGATACTCTGGCACAGAGCTTCCTCTTGCCTCTGTCTCTTAGCATCTCAATTGCAGCTCCTCCCCTCACCACTAATTGCCTTCATCACTGAAGTCTCCCATGTTAGATCCAGCAGAAATCTGAGTGGCCCAGCTGATCGTTTGATACTGGGATGTAGTCATGATCCATATGTCTCTGGCCACAGCTAATCTATTCAGTTCTACCCTGAAGGGGCAGAATTACATGGTTCAGAAGTTCACTGCTGCCTCTCAGCTGAGCCTTTGGCCAGGAAGACACACAATGCTCTATCTAGGACTCCCCAGGGTGTTCAAAATCTGGGGCCCTTCATACCTATGTGCCAGGCAACAGGTTACAGATGAGGGGGCTGTGGTTTATTTACTGACTCCAGTGATACATCCAGTTTAGGAAGAAATGACTTTGTGAAGGCAACATATTTTACTTTAAAAGAGAACCATTCCTTTCTGTAATTTTTAATACTTAGCCTCCAACTTTAATTAGGTCCTCCTTCTCCACAAAGTACTGTGACACAGTAAGCGCACACTGACAGTAGATTTCATGCACGTGGAGCTCACGACTACACTATGAGGAGTGATAAGGGCAGGATTTAAACATTCTGAATTTGGGCTCCTTTACCTCATGGCCCACCTCCCATGCACCCTGCCATACTTATGCACCCACCTCCCTGAAGCTCAGTCCTTCAGGGAAGTCCTGGGTCCTGATTACACTGGCCATGTTGACTTGACATTTGATGCCGTTTCTGTAGGTAACTACGTCCGTCTCTTGGCCAAGATTGATGGTGTTCTGGTGATCAGAGCTTATACGCCTGTGTCCAGTGATGATGATCAAGGCTATGTGGACTTAATTATAAAGGTAAATGAGGCCCCTCATGAACAGCTGCCTCACTTACACAAGCCCATTAGGGGTGGTGGGCTGGAGAAGGGACGTGTGCCTTGGACAGGACTTTCCAGAAGTGTCATTTAACAATGAAGTTTTTGACCTGGTGAAGTCTTCGGGGGTTGCTTAGATCAACCGTGAGCGCAGAAGATTTTCTCTGTGTGGTTTCCAGCAGCAAACTTTTGAATTGTGTGTGGCTGTGGCCTCAGATCTGAGGCTGTGAAAACCATACTGCATTATTTTTCAGATCTACTTCAAAAATGTACACCCTGATTATCCAGAAGGAGGGAAGATGACTCAGTACTTGGAGAACATGAAAATTGGGGACACCATCCTTTTTCAAGGGCCAACTGGGCAACTATTCTATCAGGGGGCAGGTACTGGGGGTTCACACTGGACCTCCAACCGGGAGGAAGAAGATTCCTGCAGTGGTTCCATTGTTCTAAAAAACTCTTCAGGTTTGAGTCACATGGACTTGTCCTTAAAGTCATCATACATCCATTCACACATCTACTTATGAGATTGTAAGCTTCATTAAGATAGGGGAGGAATTTGGTATTTCCTCCTCACCGTATCTCCAGCACAATGCCTGATACATAAAAGCTACCTACCAATGCTGAACTATGGAGTCCACACTCACTCATTTACTCACACATTCATCATTTACTCACTGCTGTGGGTGAGAGTGCTCTGTGAGGTTTATTCAGTGTAACGTCCCTCCTTCCTCAGAAGAAAACATCCAGTGATTCCCCACCAAGGCCCAGGCTTTATTCCCACTTTGTGCCCCAGTGCACTGGGGCTCGCCAAGGAGGCCACTCCAGCTTCTCCTCTGGCTTAAAATGGCATAGCCACTTCCTTAGGTGGACTTGCCTCCTGGAAGTCCCGAAGGAAGTCAGTCATCTTTTGCAGGCTCTCCGGCAAGAGCTCCAGAAGTCAAAAGTATCTTTTGTGTTTTCAGGGAAATTTTCAATCAAAGCATATAAAACAAGTGAGCCTGAAGAAAAACTGGCCCATCACCTGGGAATGATTGCTGGGGGCACAGGTAAGAGGCTTCTGGAGGCTTCATCCATAGGTGAGCCCTGAGGCCTTTTTGACTTCAGAATCATTTGATCTTAGAAGGGGTGATGTGAAAGATTCCTTCTCTGGCTATTTTAGATGAGAATGCAGGGTCAATGACAGGCCTTGAAACTGACTCTGTGTGCCCTACTTCCCTTCACCGACATGGTAGCTCCCTAAGAATCCCTGGGGAACCTCTAAAGTTAGGCTGGGAATATGGAAGAGGCTGAGGGCCAGTCTGGGCAGGTCTACACATGGAACCCAAGGGCTCCTAGATTCAGTTCAAGCCTGACTCCCCAACTTTTGAAAATGAATGCCTGGAAGAAGAGAACAAACGTATGAGGAGACCTACAATTTGCCAGACACCATAGTAGGGACTTTTAAAACTATCACATTTACTCATCATTAATTCTATTTTACAAATGAGAACCTTGAAGAGCTCAGACAGGCACCTGACTCACTCTAGTTAAACAACTAATGAGGGAGCTGAGTGTGAAACCAAGTTCCAATTTCAAAGCCAATGCTCCTTCCATTTGCCATATGAAAATGAGAAGGGGCTTTTGCTTTACTGTTGCATTAGAAGGGAAAGTCAAAATGAAGGGTAGTTCCCCACTTTGACTTTGGGGAATAGAAGTGAGAAAAATGGAACTGGGGCCAAGGAAACTTTCAGCTGCTACAGACTGGTGACTATGAGCATCCAAGAGGCAGAGAAAGCTAACCTGCTCGTTAATTGTGTTCTAGGGATCACACCCATGCTGCAGCTCATTCGCCACATCACCAAGAACCCCAGTGACAAGACCAGGATGTCCCTCATCTTTGCCAACCAGGTCAGTTCTGCTGAGTCAGCCCTGAGCTTGCTGGGGAAGGATGGATGGAATATTTGCTGAGCAGGGGCTCTGCATTCACTCCTCCCCCAACTGAGCTCATGCTGCTTGGGTGCCTGTAGCTGTGGGAGGGCTCAATGGGCTCAATTAGGGCTGCTGGCAGTGGAGATGCTGAGTCCAGGCCTGTTTTTTCCACTCGTTTTTGTTTTTTAAAACTCTTCTGTCTCCCCAACCCTAAGCACTATGCTTTCCTCCCTTCCTTAATACATAGTTCTGTTTAACTGAATATAAAATCATAGCTGCCCTCAAAGCAAATTTTAGAAAACACAGAAGCATAAATATTTGACTCATTTTTTATCTTTTTTTCTACATGCTATATATTTACAATTACATATATATAGTTTTTTTACTCAACATTTTACCATACAAGCATTTTTTTATCATTAACTCTTTATAAATATTTTCATCATACTCTATATCAAGTTGTACCATAATTTATTAAATCTTCTACATTCAGGTTGTTTTCAGTTATAACCGATAGTGATGAATAATTGTGCATAGACTTGATCACTTTTAGACCATTTTAAACAGAATCCCAGAAGTGGAATTATTAGGACAAGAATTGTGACGAGTTTTAAGATCCAGGTCTTCTGTGCATTATCTCTGAGCCTGCGACAAGTTCGTTTGGGCTCTGGCTCCCTTTTCCCCCAATGAAGCTCTAGCATTTGTTTTTCACTCCTTTAGCTCTCCAGTGCTGTTATATATTACTGCCTTAGCCCCTTACGTCCCCTGCACAAGATCCTGGGTTTGCACTAAGATTGTTCCAGTTGGTTTTGCCATGCCTGGCATTCAGTGTAGATGTAGGAGGTGGGGCTAGAACCTCTGAGTGAAGTCACCCGCCTATGCTGAGCCATGGCCTTCTAGCTGGAGGGCAGTCACGCAACTACTCCACCCACAAGCGAGGGTTTGTTGTGCAGGAGCAGCAACGGAACCCTCGTTTGCCCAGGGAGTCTGCGGGAAGCACTCAAACTGGTGGTAGTTTGGGCAGGAATGGGCTAACCCATGTGCTCAGTCTGGGGAATAAGCAGAAAGTCCCTGGAGGGGCTTTGCTCATGCTGCTTTTCTAGACAGAGGAGGATATTTTGGTGAGAAAGGAGCTTGAAGAAGTTGCCAGCACTCACCCAGACCAGTTCAACCTGTGGTATACCCTGGACAGGCCTTCTGTTGGTATGATCCCCGTTGTCCCCACCGTGAGTCAACTCTAACCCTTGACCACCTCAGGGACTAGTCCCTGGGTTGGTTTGTTCTTTGGGACTGGGCTTGGGGGCTGAGGCCTTGGGATCTATCTCCACGTGGGAAATGCAGGAATTTGAAGGAGAGAGGATTTGTGATGACTTGCTTGTAAAGGTAGTCAAGGGCACGTGTCCGATATCTCAACAGCACCCCATGCATTGCACTGAACATCAAGAGGGATACTAAGGCACTGGGCCACCCTGTACACCTGCCCCGCACTGCATTCCACATAACCCAGATCCATCACATTTCATCTTATACGGCCATTGACCCCTTGACCCCTTCACCTTTCACCCTTCACCCTTCATCCCATCTGGACAGCAGTCCTCACATACTGAGCCCCACACAGCACCCAGCCACCACTGTACACACCGCACTCCACAAAGCCACTACACCCTTCAAGCCAACGCCTCTCCCATACTGCACTGAGCTGTGCCTGGCTTGTCATACAGCTTACGGCCCAGCAGAGGGCACTGCCTGATCAAGCTGGTCCACAAACCCCACAATGCTGCCCTACACAGCTCCAGCTAGCGGCCTTGATTCGCACCACACGTTGGCACATCCCACCTCACTGTTATGTGCTCCATCCTTGGCAGTGCTTATAGCCAGCAGACACCAGCCAGGAACCTCAGAGCCTGGCATCGGGGGTAAATACTAAAGAAAGCTGCCTGGGTCCCCCATATCCTCTACTTTTCAGCTTTCTGCAGAGAACAGCAGTACAGACTTCTGAGTCTCTGGCGAGCAGTCTTGCCTCCCTCTCCCTGGCTTTAGGGAGGGACAGCAAAAGGACTGGTGTCTATCTGGCACCTCCATAGTTTTTTTCTGCTTAATCTCAGACTGGAAGTACAGCTCAGGCTATATTACTGCCGACATGATCAAGGAGCACCTGCCTTCTCCTGCGCAGTCCACGTTCATCCTGGTGTGTGGCCCACAACCCCTGATCCGGACAGCCGCTCACCCTAACCTGGAGAAACTGGGTTATACCAAGGACATGATTTTCACCTACTAACACCTCCCTTGTTTAGTAAATTTGCCTGGTCCCTTACATCATAGCTTCACCATGTTAAACTAGGATGTGTTCAAAAATGTACCTTTGGGCATGCTGATGCTCCTCTTTTGATGTGGGCCTAAGAAGAGTTCAAGGGGTTGGAGATAAAGTGGCTTCTAAAGTCTCCTTCCTTGGGGAGGCTTGAAAGAACTCCATGTCCATATCTTTTCCCATAGTTTAGTGAAATAAACTCCAGTACAAAGCAGATAGCCATGAGGCGTGGCTTTGTGGGGGACTTGCTAGGCACTTAGAAGGCCTTGGCTTGCCCTACATGTAAACTGGCTTGTGTGTGTCCACAGGAGGTCAGAGCTGGCAAAAGTGCCGGGGTAGAATTCCAGAAGAATCTAAGTGGGGTCACGTCAACTCCCAACAATCTCTTTCGAAATGCCCCCCAGATCATTGTTTTTAAGGTCAAACGTACCAGAGGGCTCAGACACCCTCCATGAGTACTCTTTCTTCTCTTGTGGGAGACCCTTGAAGTAGGAATGGTATTAAACACACGTCAGGGCAGTAGTGAATCTACAATGTAGGTGGGCTCCAGGAATCCTAGACTCCCTGCACTTTGTACAACAAATGGAGGTAAGGAGTGCCCTTTTGTTTGCATCCTCTAGATGTCAGGCCCTATTCCGGTGCAGTAGGGTAGTGGTGGTTACAGAAAGAAGCTTCTGAACTTGCAAACAGAATTAGGCTCCAGAAGCTTTTCCTTAAATCCTTCATGGTGTTAAACCCAAAAGCTACTAGTGACCATTCTTGTCCATGGCCAGGAAGACAGGCTGCTGCTCTATGTTATCTGTGGGTGGCTGAACTGCTTCTGCACTTGAATTTGTATAATTCTCATAAAAAGCCAGAGATTGCGGAGATTTTGTTCTCCAAGGCATAGATGAGGAAACAGGCTCAGGGACAAAGTTAGTGTGCCCAAGTCATTCAGCCAGTAGGTGGCAAAGCTGCCCTTCAAACCCAGGTTTGTTTAATTCCAAGTTGTTCGTTCTCTTTTCACAAAATTGGCATAGTAGCAGCATTGCTAAAACTTGGTGTCACTGCATTTCTTACTATGTATGTGGGTAAGGGAGGGCAGGAGAAGGGTATGAGAGAGAGAGGGGAACACAGCTCTAGAGTACAGCTGTGTAGTGCCCAAAGGGTGGTCTCGCAGAGGGCCAGTGCGGGTGGCGTGTTGGGAGGCAGCTAGCCTTCATCCATCCATGTGTTCAGCACATCCTCAGTGAATCCCCTACTCAGTGATAGATACTCTGCTGGGCACTGCACAATGAGGAAGATCCTACCCTCAGATAGTTCTCTTAAACACAAACATAACCATGGTTGTCTCCTGCTTTACACTTAGCATTTTCACTGTCCCCACCTGGCCACCCCGTGTCTCCGGGATAAATTTCAGGGGCCTGGCTTACAAGGTCTTTTTCTGGCTCCAGATTTTTACTTCTCTGGGCCTGCTACTCTGACCCCATCTTTCACTAGTCCCCACCTGGCCACCCTGTGTCTCCGGGATAAATTTCAGGGGCCTGACTTACAAGGTCTTTTTCTGGCTCCAAATTTTTACTTCTCTGGGCCTGCTACTCTGACCCCATTGTGTGGCTCAGTGGTTCTCAACTAGAGGGAATCTTACCCCTCAGGGAGAATTTGCCGGAAGTCTGGAGACATTTTTGTTTGTCACAACTAGAGGAGGGGTACTATTGGCTGCTGCGGCACACAGGACAGCCCCATCACAATGAACTATCAAGCCCTGAATGACAACAGTACAAAGGTCAAGAAACTCTAGTCATCCCAACTTTTGGCACTTCCTAGGATCTGCTGGAGTGTTTCAAGTTCATCTGCCTGGAGTGCCTTTCCCCTCTGGCATACTTGGGATCCTAATTCATCTTTCAAAATTCAACTGTCACCTTTTCCTTGGAGCCTTTGTGGTTCCTGCCCCTAGCCTTCTATTAGAAATGACAACTTGCTCTTTGGGGCTGTAGAAACTTCTACTGGAGCATCTGTAACATTGAGCACACTCTTATTTAAAACAGATCTGTACACTAAACCACCAGCACCCTTAGATAAGGACCTTGGCATTCATGCCTGTATCTCTAACCCTCCTTAGCCCAGCATAGATGGCACTTAACCTGCACGTATGAAGGAGTGAGTAGATGGAGAACTTAGCAGCATGGATCTCCTGAGCAATCTGAGGACCAGGATTGGATCTTACTCCTATCTGTACAAGAGGCCACCCATAGCTGGTGCTCGTGAGTTGGTGTTGAGATTAGGTATGGTGAGGGACAAAGATGACACATTACTTCAAGGTGAGCTAGGAAGTGCTTGGGCTTAAGGAACACAGGGACCTCCAACAAAAACACCAGTGAAGGCTGCCTGAAAGAGGCTTTATCTGTTCGGGGCCTCAATGGGCAGGAGTTGGCCTTGTGACAGGGAGAAGCAAACATCCCATAGTGAGGGAAAGGCAGGAGCACAGGCTTGAGCGCAGGTTCACGAAAGCTGAAGATTCAAAAGGGCCTTGGGTGCTAATGATTTTAAACTGTGATAATTCTGGAACTGAGGAGTTCTTAGCAGAAAGGTAACAGGATTAAAACAGTGCTTTAAGAAAGTCACTCGGGATGGGGTAGAGAACATCTGGAGGGAACCAGCTGGAAAGGTGAGGGACCAAGTAGGAGACCACTTGTGGAAATCAGATGAGAGATGAGGCCTGAGCTAGAACCATCATAAGGAAGAAGGAGGGAGCTGATCACTAAGTGGGAAGACTGGTCAGGAGCGGGCTGTATGGCAGGGTACAGGTGCCTCTTCTGAGGTAGGTGATTCCTGAGGTTTATAGGCTTCTCTGGAAGATACCAAGTTGTGGCAGCAAAGTTGATTTGAGGTGCCCAAGGGCCTCCCACTCAGGGGAGCTGTTTGATCAGACAATTGTATCTGAGACTGTAAAAAATGTAACAACAGCAAGGACAACTCATAGATCCATAGGAGGAGGGATCTGGAGAGAGTGTTGTGTGTGTGTGTGTGTGTGTGTGTGTAGGGAGGACGGGGAGGGAGGGAGGGAGGAGAGAGCATGTGCGCATGTGCAGGCGAGAGGTGCATCTGTTCAGATGCTGGGAGTCCATGCAGCACCAAAACCTGAAACACCTTTTGCAGACTAGGTTAGACTGAGGGCTTCCAGGCCAGAGTCTCATTGCTTTCCTTCCTGCTCTCATTCAGACCAGATTCCTGAGAGTGAGAACACATGCTTCTGTCTGGAAGCAGCCCAGGAGGGTGTTCCTATCATTTCACCCAGCTCAGTCACTATAGAACAATAGTCCCCAACCTTTGTGGCACCAGGGACCAGTGCTCCCATGAGAATCTGATGCCTGATCTGAGGTGGAGCTGAGGCGGTGATGCTAGCGCTGGGGAGCAGCTGCAAACACAGAGGAAGCTTTGCTCACTAGCCCGCCGCTTACCTCTTGCTGGGCGGCCCGGTTCCCAATAGGCCGTGGACTGATACAGGTCCACAGTCAGGAGGTTGAGGACTCCTGCTGTTGAACATTCAGAACCTTTTTCAGGTAGAGCTTTTATGAAGTCATAGTCCTTCCCCTTTGGTGTAAGAGCCTCCCAGCTGTCACCAGGAACAGCATGAGCCACTGAGTCTGTGCTGACATTTCATTGCCCTCCCCACAAAAGTGGTTTGCAGTCCACATATAAAAGTACAAAAAGTATAAAAACTGTGGTGAAGAGCACAGCACAGTTAAAAATATAGGGGTACTGGGGCCACCTCCTGAACATCTGTCCACAGCCCTACTTCCCCCACATCAGCACCCACGTCTGAGATACCCTGCCCGCCCCAGTCTGGGCTCTGCAGCGGCCGTGTGCCAGCTCCCCACTGAAGCAAAGCCTTGGAGCCCCTACACATGCCTGTTCGGGCTCCCAGCCATGAAGAAGTCATCTCCAGTCCTCAGAGTTGGGAGGGGCCAGGCGAGAGTCATTCAGCAGCTGGTCCTGGCTCAGCATGGTCTGAAAGGACACAGCCGAAGGTGCAGTTGAACAAGGTTTTGGTCAAAGCCACCATGGGGCAGCTATGTCAGCAGCAGCAGGCACCATCTGACACCAGTGTTCTATAAATTTATGGTGTCCCAGGGACCCCAAGTATCAGGTCAGACTAGACAGCACTATCAAGATAATAAATTGTTCATACCTCAGAAGTAAAGTCATTATTTCAAGGCCACCAGAAACCTACTAGAGGCGATAAGGGCAAAGCTCGGTGGATTCATTTCAGTGTGTAAGGCAAGGAAAAAAATTGAATAAAAATGACCTCCCACTTGGATTCAAAGACACAGCCTACCCCCCCAAACCCCCCACCCCTACCTGTCATGCCCTTAGATATAGCCTTCTTAAAGTTTCTTGATAGATCAGCCAAGCAAAGGATAGTAACAGAGGCCTCAAAGGGATAGACACTACAGTCAGTGGGCTCAGTGATGGGGCAGTTTGGGGACTAACGAGCCTTGGATGGTATGGGGCCTCAAAAATGTGAACCTTCCCTGTGGCTGGACTTCTACTACCAGTTCTAGTCTGTCTACAAGCATTACAAGGAGGATACCTTTAGCTCTGCTTTACAGATAACTAGCCAGGGTTGGGAGAGAGAGTGACTTGCCCAAGGCCCCAGAGCAGGGGTTTGAACCAGGCTGGCCTCACTCCAGGGCTGCTCCTCTTCCCGGAGACCACACTGTTCCCCATGGTAAGATTTGTCCTCATTGGGCATGCCAGGATGTGCTCACGTGCTTCAATATCCATTATGTCAGAGGCATGATAGGAAGTACATGTGTCTCATGGGCAGAGAGGGCAGAACAGTGTCCACCAGGCCAGAGGTGAGGCCTTGGTGTTGGGCTAACTAACCAGGTGACCTACGGCTGCTGAGAGCATCTGTTTCCTCACCAGCTCCGAGCCTGGGAAAAGGACCTGGAACCTCAAGCATGCTTTCGCTGGTTTTTGCTCAAGGTCCATAACCCTTCCCAATGCCCTGAACATCTCAAGGCCCAGCAGCAGGCCAGTGGAGAAAGCTGCTGGGATGGCTCAGGCTCTGACCCCAGTGCCCAGCACCACCTTTGCTTTTCCCCAGTAGAAGTACTGATGACACAGGCTCTGGAGTAGGGACCTCACCAAACTCACGGGCCTCCCAGCCTCTGTCCTACTGTGGAGTGAGGGTCAGGGTCCTACCGTGAGGCGGTGAATGTCTTGGGAGAGGAGCCCTATCTGCGTCACAGTGCCTTCTGAAGGTGCCATCTGTAAAATGGGCAGCAGCCTGGTCAACACACATGGACTCTGCTCATGATTCGCAGAGATGGCATGCAAGTCTCGTTCCTGCTCAGGCATGCTCCCCTGGGGGTGCAGACAAGGTGTAGGCCAGGTCCTAAGGAGTGACATATGGGCGGAGCACATGCTGCCTCTATCCCTGGGGAAAAGCAGAGCTTCTGGTATCCCACACTGCCATGCACATGCACTCCTGGGTCCCTACCCTGGCACCAGCTTAAAGGGAACAGAGGGGTAGGGCACAGAAAAAAAGGCCTGTGAGAAGCAGCTCTTCAGCACATGTTCAGTGCTCCAGCTATTTTCAGGAGCAGAGATGAAGGCCTTCAGGATGCTGAGTACACTGACAATTTCTGGCACCAACAGGACACAGACATTAATGCCCACTATAGGTAGAGGTGGGCATCCTCAGGGAGCTGCTGATGGAGCTTCCTCACTACCAGGATCTCCCTCCCCTCTCCTCCTTTCCCTGCTCCTCAGCTAATGCTGGCCTGCTCCTTCTTCCCTAAACTTATTTGGATATTGTAGATTTGGAAGCATCCTCTAAGGGCATACCCTCATTACCGGTGGAAAAATTGGGGATAGAGGGATAGAGGGATAGAGGCTTTGCTTGAGGCAGCACAGAGAATTAGTAGCATAATTCCATGCAGAGTTTAAAAAGAAGTGCATGCAGAGATTCTCTCAATAGGACACAATAAGAAATAAGGGACAGAGCCTGCCCTGACTACAGCTCTGCGGTACCCAGGTATCAGCCTCAAGGAGCTCCTGTCATGTAGTGGGTCCCAGGCACTGATATCAAACACCAGCTGTGCCAGCTGGTGAACCTGTCCATCTCTTGCTGGTCAGACTTCAGGCAAGGCCAGAGGCCATAGCCTGAGGTTACAGGTAGTTTAAGAAGCAGATCTGAGCATTGCCTCCATGTGAGACAGAATCAGAGTGCCCTCAGTGGGATCATTAGCCCCTGCTCTGACTGCCAGACAGTCACAATGTGGCTTTTGCAGATGAGGCCCGGGGAACCCAGCAAAGCCAAAAGCTGCCCTGGGGCAAACTGGAATCTCCTGAACAGAAACGCAGATTGGCAAGGTGTGTCTCTCACTCAGTCCTTGGCCAGACAAAGCCCATCTGTAAGACCCATTATCAGTTAGTCAGCCTCTAAATCAGGAAGAGAGGTCTGTTGCAGCACTGCCAACACAGGCAGACCAACCCCTACAATGGTTACGGGCCCAGCCAGGTCAATAAGAGAGAAGCTGGCAAAACACATGAACAATAGAAAGCTTTTCCAGCAAGGCTAGCTTCTTGTCTCCTCACCACCCAGTTCACTAGGTGGCTCACACCACTGAAACAGAAATGAACTACGGGGTCTGCACAACAGATGGGACCCACAGTCAGGATGTGTGCAAGACACGATGTTCCCCCCGGCTTCATAGAGGGCGGTGGAGCCTGAAGCCACAAGGTCACAGACCTCCTCTGAAGGATATGGGGTGGGGGTAGGGGGGGTCCTTCTTTGCTCCACTCCCCTGGTCCACAGCATTTGGCAGATCTTGAGTGTACCCCCGGGCAAGGACTTGGCTCAGTGTCGTGAGCTCTCAAGCTGTGCAGTGAGCAGGGCTCCATTTCCAGATGTGCTCAGCTCTCTTTCCCCAACGAGATTAAAGATATGCTGTACTGTTTGCTTTCTACATAAATATTGTTTTTATTACCAGAAAGAAGCGACCACCTCTGTAGTAAGGCACAGCACAGTTACACTGTCACTGCGGCAGAAACCTTGCTGCTGTCCCTTGATCTCGGCCAAGACCATGGCCACAGGCTGAAGGCACTTGAGATTGGCCCTCAACTGAAGCACAGTGGAGGGGCCTGAGAGCTGAGCCTCTGGGATTGTCCATGGTCTCCGGACTTGTGGCCAAGCTCATGTGTTTCCACTGGTGCTGACGATGGACATTAAGAATTACTAAAGACTTACAAGTATCTAAGTGTCATTCCTCCTGAGTCCACCTTTGGCAACAGTCCCCAAAGCCTGACCCCTTAGCAAAGATGCATATCCATACCCTGGCCACCCTCAGGGTTCGAAGAGAGACTGGCCCAGGGGTACATGATTGCTGGATTGTTTCTGCAGGTCATGCACATGTGCAAGGAGTGAGATGCAGTTATATGGTGACACACATGGTGTTACTGTGAGTTCTCAGGGTGCACAGAGAGGACAGGTGACAAGGACATCAGCTAATCTGTCCCACCTGGTCCAGCCCATCCACTTCAGGGGCATTGAGGGGGCTGAGGCCCCGGTAGCCACTGTAGACCCTGTGACTGTCCCCAACACTGTCAGTGGGCTCCATTGGGCAAATGTAGTCCGTCGATTCGTCGAACTTCTTTTTTCTTATGTTTCCAAAATGTGAAAATCCTAGTTTCCTTGGCTAAAACACAGCAAACGCAAGATTATGAGAAGACTATTAAATTGGTGTGCAGCTATGACTGACAATACATTAAAAAGCAGGCCCCCACAGAAAGAAATAAGACAAACTGCTTCTAGAAAAACTCTCTTAACAAAATGGAGCTCCTGTAAGCAATTTCTATGCTGGGAAAGACCAACAGATAAATAATCTTGAACAAGGAATGCTGTTCCTCCTAGACTCCATTCCTGAAACTCACACCCTGCTGTTCCAATAGTGATGTTGTTATTTCCCTGGGGAATGGGGTTCCTGGAGGCCTTACCTCACCATAGCTGCTAGCACCACACGGGGGAGCTCTCCCTTCCTTCCCCTTGCAGCACAGCTCCTCGGCCCTCGCAAAGCCACATCTGACAGCCCTGGGTGGCCCTCCCTCCCTGCTCCAGCTTTGCCCAGCATGTTTCTGCTTGTCCCCCTCAGACACACTTCCTGTCCTGCTCTCTTGGGGAAGAAGGTCTGAAAAGGAAGTGGTCTGAGGACGATGTGGCTCGGGCAGGTCAAAAGTGCTTTGTGGGATTCAGAGAGTCCCAGTGAATGATGCTGGTATTCGGACAACCTCAGGACCGCTGGACGGCTGTGTGCTGGCCATTCCACAGCACGGGGCAACCGGAGCCAGCTGCCAAGAGGAACACTCCTTGTGTTGGCAGGACAGCTTTGACCAAGACCCCCTGCCCCCAGAGCACCGTGGCACAAAACTGGGCTTGACTTCAGGAAGCCTAGACTTAGGAACTTGTCTGCTTTGCAAAATTAGTCAAGGCAGCCTTGGGGTAGAGGACGAGCTCCTAGCTGCCTGAGAATAGATGCTTCCTAAACATAGTGTCTGTAAAGAAATGTGCACTCTGTTCCTTGGACTCAAGACTGGCAGGGAACTGACAATGAGACCAAACTCCCAAACAGAAGCCGAGAGCGCCTCTTCATCCAGGAGGCACACAATGGTTTGGCTCCAGGTGTTGGGTCAGCTACTGTACAACATGAGGGCTAGAAGGGAGGCCTCTGTGACCACCCTGGTAAGGGTCTGGAAACTCACCCGGACTTTGGCTGTGGTGGTCAGTGGTGTATAAGCTGGTGAGGCCATTTTCTCTCGCTTTTCTTGTTCTGCCTCAGGACCAATCAGGGCATTGAATTTGGTGGTTAGGTGGCGTCTGAGGAGCGTCTTTTGTGGTGGGATATTGAGAAGCATAGCCAGGGTGTCCCCAGTGAAGCGTGACTCCAGGATCTAAGAAGAAAGCAGACAGGCAACTATGGTGGCTCCAGGACACTAAGAAATGGGACCCCGTGGGCCTGGAGGTGTCTCCAAAGCAGGGGCTGAAGCTCACCTACTTGTCCGTGTCCTACTCCTCTCTACTTGGCTCTGGGCAGACGCTAGCACATTTTTTGACTGACTGCCACATTTTCACAGGCCAGTAGAGAACTGTGCCCTCTCAGATAAGGCTGTCTCCCAGGGTCTGCTCTGGACAACATCCAAGCCACCCCTTCCACATTTCCCTGCTGGCTTTGTCAGTTGACGGATTTGAGTGATGACAAGGACTGTATTATACCAAGCAAGAAATTACATTTTGGTGCCCCCCCCCCTCACTTCCCCAGCCCCATGTTCCTCGAGGAGGAGGTGGAGCTGGGGGCTGATTCTCAAGCAACCTCTTCGTCCTAGGATCCCCTGGGTCCATGGCCAGGGAAGTCTTTCCAGAAGCCATCTTGTTTCTATGAGATATATTAATTCTCAACCACAAATAATCAAAATACTTGGAGTCTTCAACTTATACAGGGATTTCAGATGAAATATCAATTATTCTTACTAGGACTTATGTCTAGCCCGTACGAAATCAGTTTCTGAATAACTCAGTTTGCACCAAGGCAGGTGGGCTGTCCAAAGAGCCACTTACAATGAGGCCTCCATGGACGCCACTCCCACGAAGGTTGGGCGCATATTCCGCCAGGTCCACGGATCGCAACCACTCCATCACCCTGTGGTTGGACCACTGCACAACTTCTGAAGGAGAAAGGTTACTCTGTGAAGTGGAGAAGAGTGAAGAAGTTAGGTCTGATAGGTCCTACTGTGATGCTCCGTGGAGCCAGCCCCTGGGAACGAGCCTACCTCAGATGCCTCACCAGAAGATGACCATCATGCCTAACTGACCCAGGCAGCCAGATCAGCTGCCTGAAAGCCTTCCCAGTTTCCAAGAAATAGAGCTCTTATGGAATCTCGCAGGATCTTCTACACTGATATCTGATTCCAGAATCCTGTTACTCCCTAATTCTCTGGTTAATTTTCAGACCAATTGTTCCATTCATTCAATGATTCAACAGAACTTTGAGGAGGACTAGCAATTATGAGCTGAGTGTTTTATAGACAAAAGAAAAATCTCCCTGTTGTAGCCAAATATTTTAGGAGAGTACACATTTAGATCCTTGTGCCTAAATGCCCTCAAATGGCATCTGAGTCTTCAAAATGCCCAGCACTGTGCCCGACACATAGAAGGCATTCAAAACATATTTGTTGAGTAGGGAGAAAATAAGTGATGGAGGGTGGAGGTTTTCAGTCTTTCAGGAAGCTGAGTTAACCTCACAGCAGGAACACAGGAGAACAGGAGACGGGCTGTGACTGACAACCCTTTAGCTTTGGGGCCCACCAAGAACTCTGAAGTTCATGGAATATTATCAGGGACTTCTCTGGTATTTGCATTGCTGTGTTTACCTACACTATTTCTTCTCTAGCAAAACCTGCTATGCATCCCCTGTGCACCTGGGACTGGAAGTCGGTTAATTTCATATCTACGCATAGGGAGATCTATTCTGAAATGTCTGGTTCCCTATGGGCTCCTCATCTTTTCTCCTCTGCCTCCTTTGACACTCATCTTTCCGTTTAGTCTTTACCCTCCCTCTCCTGTGCACATTTCCTCATCTCCTTTAATCATTATGATGGCTTTGAAAGACTTGCTGCTACTGCCCTCTGGCCCAAAGCATGTGTCTCCCCAAATAAAGAAGGAAAGTTGGAGGTCTGATGGCTGCTGTGGGACACAAAGTATAGATCATAGAGTGTTTGGGGCACCACGGAGTAGTAGCAAAAGAAAGAATCCCAAGCACTGTAATCTGAAATGTAGCCATTTCGTGATGATATCTTTCTTGTTTTCTCACACCCAATCTTACAGGTGTCCTGGCTCAGGGCTACCTGGATAGGTACTGTCCTGCCCTCACCTCATCAGCCGGCCGCCGATGCAGGCAGTGGGGGTTGAACTTGTTGACATGCAGCACATGAATGGCACATTTGATGCTGAGATGATGTAGCTGGCTGGTGACTTTTAAGAAGAGTAGGTCATTCTGGAAGAGGAACGTTTCGGTTGATGAACCATAATTTCCAAAGTGACAAAAGACCCCTGACACTTCTTCCCAGACCAAACACAGACAAGTCAACCACATCTCAGCAGTGCGCGCAGACACACCAACAGTTTTCTTAGCACAATGGTTCATACTTTTCTACTCGGAACCTTTTATGTAGCAAATGACACAATTTTAAGACCTCGGGAATATGAAGGAGGTGGCAGAATGAAGTTTAAAATAGCCGCCATAGGAATACCTGAGCTGAGTGCTCACAGGAACCACCGAAATACTGAAAGGAAAAATCCTCACCACAGTTAGGTATTGCAGCATGCGCCCATCAACTCTGGATTCGTGAAATTGGTCTTTGTACTGGGGTAAGCCAATATCATCCAGCCAACCTACAGACACAGGGAGAAACACATGTGTTAGGATTCGTGAGAATGGGAGAGTGTGTAGGCCAAAAGGCGGGGAGTTCCAGCTGTATTCCCCATAAAGTTTAGAAATCCATCTGCCTTTCACAAGGAGACAGCCGTCTTTGAGGCACATATTTACAGGGAAGCTCTGTCTACTCTGAGGAGCTGTCAGAAACATGATACATATGCCTGTCCTTACGTGTCACCCAAATGTGGTCTAGCTGTGCAGACTTCTCCTCCTGTTTCGTGTTGATAGCTTTCACTGCTAAAACCAGCTTCTTCCTGTGAAGAGGGTGCTTAATTCCTAGCTCCTGAAATTGAAAGATGAAAACAGATGTGAAATTTGGGTGGGCAGTGTGGCCCTCAGAGGATGCTTTGTCTGAGTAGAGATATTCCACTTGGGTGGAGGGTGGCAGTGGACCCCCGCACAGTGCCAAGGGATGAACTAGCGGCAACAGAGAGGGTCTTGGCCTCCTCTGGACATCCTACTGTGTGTGTGGAGGGGTGGGGAGTAGAAGAGTCGGGGCCTCACTTCCCCAGGCATTGGGGAAAAGTGGGAATCTCCACGCCCAGGGCTCGGCCTTTACCTTTTCCATGTCCTGAGGGGTAGCTGTCAGTAAAGTGTGGCCAGAAGTCACCCACTGCCTGGCAAAGATCACATACTGAGCCAGACCGAAGTCCTCCAGCCACGCACACACGCGCTCTGTACTCCACTGGGCGAAGGGGGCACTGGCATCACTGGGAAGCAGGAAAACAGCATGTCCCTGTTAGTGGGAGGGTCTGAGGCTCCAATAATAGAGCCTCACATGAAGGGGAACTACATTTTAACAAACAACCCCCATCATGGGGTCTAGTTGAACAAAATTCCATTACAATGCACTCGTTTGAGGTAGATTCTAGTTTCCTGTGATAATACCCGGCCTGAATTCCAAATCTGCAGCTGTTGAGAGTGTGGAGCAGTTACATGATCCTCGTGAGGCTATGTTTACATGTGTCACCATCCATGCACATGTGCATATGTGTCACAAGCCCAGAGTCCTGCCCTGTTAGGATGAAGATCCAAACTGAATCATGTTTTCAACAGGGTTCAACACCGATTTTAGGAAAACACTTAGAAAACTAGGAAAAAGGTGTCAGTTCTCTAACATTAAAAAAAAAAATCTCCAATCAACTACAGCTAATACCTTATTTATTAATGACACACTAAGGGCATTCATATTTAAGGCAATAACAAGACAATACTTTTTAATCAGTACTAATAACACCAATCTGACAGTTGCAGTCAGTATAAGAAGAGATAAAATAAAAATAAGAAGTATAGCTATTAGAAAGGTAAAAATAAAAGAAAGCCATTCCTTTCAGATGATACAGCTGCCTGCCTAGAAAACCCAAGAGAACTCAGTACGGTGGCTAGTTATAAAATACACATGCACACATAATATTTATGACATACACAAATCGACAATTTTCTATATACCACCAATGCACAGATACTAACATTTTTGTTAAAATAATTTTTAAAATCCCACTAATAGCAACCACAATTATAAAATGTCTAGTAGTTGCCTTTCCAAGGAAACTGTGGGCCCCATAACTGTGTGTGTGGATGGACGGGAAATGATAACTGTAACACTTGACTGAGCAACATAAAAAAAGACATGAATAAATGAAGAGTTAGGTCATGTTCCTAGACAGGATGACTGGGTATTACAAAGTCATTGATTCTTAGAGACATCAATTTTTCATGTAAAGTATGAATATTAACAACACACTTAAAATCCCAATAGAGTCTCTTTTTTTGTGGGGAGGAGAAGGAGTTGACAATGCAATTTTATATTCACTTTTAAAAATAAATGGGGATTTACGGAATGTTAGAAGACTAGATACTTTAAAAGATTCCTTCCAGGAAAGTACCCCTAACATGCCGGTTAAATAAAATGTTTTTGAATGCCTGGTTGAGTTATTCTTAAAGTGAGAGAATTCCTTAAAGGGCCAGAAGACCTCTCGCCTTTTCCTCTGTGTGCCTGTAAGTATGAGTGATGTCTACTCGTGTCAAATGGGAAGGGTTGGGAAACTCTACACTAGGAGATCCTGTCTCTTACCTCTGGATGCTCTGGCACATCCAGCCCCCATTCTCACTCCACCTTACACAGCTTTTGTAGATAGACTGGGGAAAGACTTACCTTTTCTGACCCTTGGCATCCCTGGTCCTAGAAAGCCTTGGCCCTGCTGTCGCCCGGAGCCCACCTCGTCGAAACTCTGCCATCCCCGGTGCATCAGTGTTGAAATTTCCTGACTGAGTTCTTCGGATCCTGTGTGGAGAGGCATCCATGAAGACTGTTAGGGGATAGTCTCAAAGTGCGGAGTCAGTGTATCTCCTCCTGCACAGGGCCATGCAAGCCACACCCAGGACTCTCAATGACACTGCTTCTCAGTGCTTCCCCAGAGGTCAAGGATCATGACCTGTGACAGCTCCTTGGCCAGACCCAAAACTCAATTCTAATCCTGCCTCTGAGATGTGGGCTATTCCCCATGGGAGTAAAAGTGAAGTCAGGTGCCTGGTAGGAGGCCCCAGTTTCTGCCTTTTTTCACAGACTGGGTCAGTCAGGCCAGCAAGTAGTCAGCTTTCTGTCTTTAAAGATTTCTTAAGATACAAACTGACCCCTAAAAAGGAAGAAATTGGTCTCACCCATGTGTGTCTCCCAAAGCACATATGGTTGAGTGTGGAGAATGTGCTCAGGGTGTGTGGGATGGATGGATGCCTAGAATGAATGACATGTAAGGCAACTGGTTGTCTTTAATGGATACCTTTCATAGTTCCCCTTCTCTGGGCCCTAAAAAAAGAAATCACTCAAATTCTTCTCTCTAAACATGACCACTCTGTTTTTATTGCTCTGTTCCAACATCTAACTAAACAGGGGTTTATGCAGACTTTTTGCCCAGTCAAGAAGAATACTGATTCCAAGCAATATCATTACAATCATCACCGCCAACTTACTTTCCCCAGAATTTCTTGATGCCTTTGGGGCTCCGTTTACCATCCGGTGTCAGGGGAGACTGAGAACCAGACTCAGCACCGGATGGTGTGGATGACAGGTCATTGGCCATAGTAGTGTCGTCCCAACCACTTTCTGTGTCTCCTGAGATTGAAAGAATGTAATAATGTGTGAATGCAAGAAAAGGATGTGACTTAATTACCTTCTCCCCCAAGCCTGGGCCATTCTTCAGTGGGAGTTGGGAAGGGCCTGCCCAGCTCTGCATTCAGGGCACAACTTTACACCAAGATCTCAGTAGGGAGCTCAAGCACACTCCGGGTTTTCTCTCTGAGGAATTAGTGAGCTTAAGGTTCCAAATCTGGGTGAGCTGTCTTTACATTCTAAGGGTTTGGGGTCCAAGTATTTGTAGGTAACTCCAACAAGGAACTTGCTCTCTTTTTCCCAAGGGAGATTTGAGAATGCAGGCAGGAGGGGGACCTGGCTGAGTGTTCAGGAGAGGGTGTTAGGGTAGGGAAACAGGGCATCTCACTCTCCACCTCACCTGGAAAGGTACAGTACCTAATACGGGGGCACTGACACTCCGGCCACGATCTCCAGCCAACCAAGAAGCAGAGAAGCCACATGAAGAAGCAAGAGAGGCCCAAGTCCAGCCCACCAGAGTTACAGGGAAGCAAAGAAATAAACAAGAGAGTCATCGAGCAAGAGAGAAAAACTCAAACAGAAAGAAAAATAATCCCACAAGGAAGGAAGGGTTGAATCGTGACTGGGCTTAGCCCCTGGGGTCAGCATAGTGAGGAAGCCTCATGTGAGGGGACCAATTGTTCTTGGGGCCACTTCCTGGTAGGTGGGTATCTACACTCAGGGAGAGTAGCAGAGGCTGAATATACTGGGTCCCACACAGCTTGTGAGGGTGTCAAGGCTCACTTAGGTCAGATTAGAATGTCTGAAGACACTGCAAGTTCATAGTCTGAGTGTCACTAGGATATACTTATTCAAGGACCTATCAGGTTCCTACAGCCAAAGGCAGAACTGGTTAATGGCAGAAGCCAACACATGGGCTGGCACAGAGAACAGCTGGGGATGAGGAGTCAGGAGTAGGGAGAGCTCTGCCAAAACCAAAATATTTCCTCCTGGGCCCCATTCATTGATCTGCTGATGTTATTGGGGAAAGATGGCCTAATATGCATTAAAAGTAGCAAAGACCTCCACAGTTGCAGGTCCTAAGCACCGAAAGGATACCTGTGGACTGACATCCTTGCCCACTGGCCACTGACTCCATTTCTCTAAGGAAACGCTCTCCCTTG